TATATATATATATATATATTAGAATTTATTTATTATATATTAGAAATTTAATAGAATATTAGAAATTGGAAAGGGGATAGAAAAATTTCATCAACGTGTTAACCGAACCTTGTTGAGTGTCAACAGACTAGAAAAAATTCTATTTTTATATATCGATCTATCGAACTATCGATGTATCGATCTATCGAAGTTCGAGAGATCGATTGTTAGATCGTTGTTATATCGAACGTCGATATATCGATTGTTTGGTAGATCGATATATTTAACTTCGATAGATCGTTTGTTCGATAGATCGATATATCGAAGTTCGATATATCTATTGTTCGGTAGATCGATATGTCGAAGTTCAATAGATCGATTGTTCGATAGATCTCTTTCTCTCTCACTTTTTCTTTTCTTTTTTATTTGTACAATTTTTATTTCCTTTTTTTTCCTATTTTCTTTCGACTCTTGTTCTCTCTCGTTTTTGAGTTCAACTAAAAAAGGAATATCTTGTTTAAGAGAATTCTAGAAGCTTTCTCGACACCGAAACCATTTATTCGACTGAATTACTTGAATAAAATAAAAAAAAAATAAAAAACAAGAAAATAAGTTAATAATTTTATCAACTAGAAAATTCAAATGTAATAAATAAATTTTAAAGTAGGTACATATAGAATTTATTTATTTAATTTTTATAATTGGATAACTTTCAATATTTGTACTTTTAATTTAATAATTATCAAATAATTAATATTAAATATTTTACTTTCTATTTGAATGACGGAGAAAATTATTTTATTATTAACAAGAAAATAATATTTTTTTTAATTATATAACATTATTTTGAAAATTACTTCAATTACATTATTCTACAATATTATAGGAAAGAAATTGATTTAATTTTGATAAGTATTCTCACACTTTAAGCGACGATAGATCTTAGTTGAGAGCTGGCGTAATAATTTCACAAAGGTAAAAGATTTTAATAAGGAAACACACGTTTCTCTTCATCACCTCTTCCTGTTTCTAACGGTCTCTCTCTCTCTCTATTTCTCATTTTCTTTCTCTCTTCTTCCCTTTTGTGATTGTAACGACACGAAAACTGAAATAACAGTACACGCGGAAACTATAGTTTATACGTTATTGTCGAACCAGCCCAGCATAACAACGGTTTAACCACCAGTATCAGCTCTCAGCTTTCATTATCGGCCAGCATAGATCATAGTTCGTGTGTAGGCAACTGTGTGACGTCACACATCCGTTCATACTTCATCGCTGGAGAATGTCACACCGTACGACGAGTATTCATACGTAATTCGAGGTACAATTTTTCTTTCCATTTTTCTTTTCTTTTCTTTTCTTTTTTTTCTCTTTTTTTTTTTTGTAACAAAACTATAAAGAAGGAAACGAACGAGTAAAATTGAATATTCCTAGTCATAATTATTTAATTCCGAAAGAAATTTACCACCATATTGTGTTATTCATACGTAATGCGAAATCAATTTTCACGTATTGCTCCACTGACCACTACATGACGTCACAAATTCTTTATTCGGAAATTCATTAACTGAATAATTTTTATCATATTCTGTAGGTTTTTATACGCAATTCGTGATAGTTATACCTTTAATTATTACTTTTTTTATTTTCTAGTATAATAGTTTTATTACTTTTTGTATATTCTAGTGACTATAAATAAAAAATCTCTAGGTTGTTATTCGTGCGTATTATTTTCTATAAAATTTATTTTTATATCAACGCATTAAATATATAGTGATAAATATAATATTAAGGTAATCGTTTAATCTCTAATAATACGTTGTTGTTGTTGTTATTGTTTATAAA